ATACATATACACACATACATGGTATATGTATATATAGTCATGTGTTTATTAAAATAACAGAAAACTGGAGCTAATATCATCTAGATGGTTAAGAAAAGATGTTTACCATCACTAGCCATAAAGGAAATGCGATTAAAAACACAATGAGACACTCCTACATGCCCATTAGAATGGCTAAAACTCAAAAGACTTGAGGAAATCTAGTTTCAGCAAAGACAGATCCACCGTACATCACTAAATGAAATTCAGAATACACTTACCCCATAGTCTACTTAATAATTTCATTCTTAGATATTTACCCATATGACCTTGCTAGGACCTAAATACAAGTGTTCCTTCAAGAGTGTCTTTACTTAGAATAGCATGAGACTTGAAACAATCCAATTTCCATCAACAGGTGACTAAATAAACACACTATGGCATATTGACCCAACCGAAGATTCCTCTGCAGTGGAGATGGATGAGCTATAGATGTAGCTGTTCGGAGAACTCTCAAAATCATTACATTGGAAGGAGCCAGACCTGGAGAAGTAGATACTGTATGATTACAGCGCAATTCCATCACGTGAAATTCTACAAGAGACAAATCTAATATGAAGTGAGTTGCCTGAGGCCGGAGGTGGAAAGAAATTTTTTTAAAAAAGGGCACAGAGAAAATCTGCGGTTGATACAAGTGCCCATGTTTTGACTGTGGTGGTTGCTAAGTAAATACATTAACTTGTCAGCCTCTCAAATTGAACACTTAGGAACAGTACATTTTAGAGCAAGGGAGAGGGTTCATCTGTCTAAGTGTTTGCCACACAAGCATGAGTCCCGAGTTCAGATCTCTAGCACCATGTAAAAAGCCAGGCACAGCAGTGTGCACCGATAACGCTCATGATGCACGGGGGGGGGGGTGACAGGAGGATCTCTGGGGCTTACTGACTAGCTAGTCTCTCTGAGTTCAGTGAGACCCTGTCTCCAGGAAGTAAAGTGCATGACAGAGCAGGGTACCTGTGGCTTCTACACATCTGCACAGGGCAGCAGCACACACAAGCACACATACACACAAAATAATTTTTTAAAAATATTGGACATTGAGGTTGGAGAGGTGATTCCATCACACACACACACACACACACGATGATACATTTTATTGTATGTTGACACTATCTCAATAAGATGATGAAAATTTTAAAATAGGTATTCAACAAAGATGCATAGCAATGTAAGATATGCGGTAATCAGAGGCCCAAGGATCCATACATGAGCTGTGAGTTCACTCCTGGGAATGGAGTTAGAGCCAATTAAATAGTTATTTAATTTGAATTAATGTGGATTCACTCCATTTGCGGTGATGAGAGTCTTGTGGGAAACGCACATTACTTTCTCACCTCGATCCCCTCTCCCTTCACTTTATCTCCATAGCCATCTCCACACCCACTTCACTACCCCTGGCCATCCCTTCCCACCTTCCCGCATGGCAAGGGGCAGGAAGGGACAGGAGGAGGAGAGGTGGTCCCCTTCCATTCAGAGCACTTGGGCAAAATCATCTATTAGACACATCACAATCCAAATCCCAGCTCTGTCAAGTCACTTGGTTGCTTTGTACCTTAAATTCTGAAATCTAAACATCCAGGTTTAGAGGTCAGCCTTTGGTTAAGGCCAGAGATGATCTTACCTGAGCCCACCCAGTTTCCCTGTTTTGCCTATCAGGTCTGCCAAATAAACATGATTTCAGCTCTACAACGAAGGGTTGTGTTAGTCTAAGTAAATGTTGCAGGGGACATACTTATGCTTGAATAGTACATGGGACATACTTATAATGAAAAAAGTCCTCATCTCTCTGAAATCCACGTTCACCTGGATGTTCTGCATTTCAAATTGGGGAATCCAGTAACCCTATTCCAGGTGGACCCTGAGGCTGATATCCTTGAATTGTCAGGGCACCACAGAACACAACTGGGAACCCTTCAGTTGACAGCAGTGTCCTGGTGGACCCGAGCTGTGACCTGGAAAGTCTTTCAATGTCATTCATTGCAAAGAGAAGAATGAGGAGAGAGGCAGTGTGGAGCCCAGCAAGAGCCGCAGGCCCAGTCTCCCACCTCAGCCAAGCTCTGCTGTCCAGTGAGACCGGGTCATCCCTACGAGAGTCTCCCGGTCGTACAGCCCCCTGATGGAGATCTGGGCAGACGCAGCCTCGCGGCTCTACAGACACATAGTGGACTTGGCAGGAAGAGCACTGGGAACCAGGGAACTGTTGTGGCCAGAGGGACCCTGGGCAAATATTTAAAACACACCTTTCACATTCAATCTTTCTAAAAGAGACCTCAAAACAAGGTAAAAAATACGAGTTACAGAACAGAAGAAAAAAATCACAACATAAAGCAGAGGAAACAGTGATCTCCAGAGTACGCTTAGGGGCCCCAAGTCAGTAAGAAAAAGGCCAATAACCAAACGGAAAAACGGCAGGAGATATGAACAGGTAATTCACCAAAAAAGCAAAACAAAACAAAAACAAAAGGCAATCATACGGAAAGAGCAGCCTCATTAATAATCAGGAAAATGCAAATCAAAACAGCAATAAGAGCTCTGTGTTGACAATCATATTGGCAGAAATGAAAAAAGCTGATAAAATCAGGGCTAGGAGAGGAGAGGGAAAATCAACCTTGGTGGTGGGTGAGGATGTATATGAGGCTGCCTTTTCGGAAGGCTAGCTGGATCATATGGGAGTTATATGTGTATAGTTGTGTGTGTGTAAGTGCTTATGTGTAAATGTGTACATGTGTATGTACATGTGCCTGTGGACGTGAAGTCAATGTTGGGGGTCTTCCTCAATTGTGCTCTACCTTATTTTTTGAGGCAGGGTCTCTTGAAGAACTTGGAGTTCACTGATTCTGCTAGACTGGCTGACTAGCAAGTCCCAGGAATCCTCCGGTCTCCTCCTCCCCAGAGTTGGGATTATACCATCTACCATCACACCCCAGGTTTATGCGGGTGCTGGGTGTCGAATTCAGGTCCTCATGATTGCCCAGCAAGCGCTTTAGATCTGAGCCATCCTCCCATCCCCATAGTCTATATATTTTTCCCCAGACAATTCCTCTCTTCACCATCCATCTGAGAGATGTTCTCATGTAAGGTCCTCAGCCTGCTTGGACATTAGCATATGGCAACATGGGTCTTCACAGACCACTGGAAGCCGTTTCAGTGTCTATCAAAAACAGAGTGAGAACTCACAGAGCAGAAGCCAGGGAGCGGCTAAGAACAACATA